GCCTGCACAGTCATTAAAAGGATGAGCTACACGTGATGGGTGAGCATTATGCGGAGTGAGACTCACAAGTCACGATGAGTGACTCCAGCTGCGCGAGGCTCCGAGCAGCCAGACTCAGAGAGAGGAGGAACAGAGGCTGCAGGGCTGGGGAGGGGATGGGCTCCGTGTTTCGTGGAGACAGATTCTGTTTGAATGATGAAAAACTTCTGGGAGTGGACAGTGGTGATGGTTACACAATATCATGACTACCTCCTATCACTGAACGGCAGGCACACATAGAAATGGTAAACTTTTGTTAAGTACGTTTTGCCACAATGAAAAAGGAGATTTTGTAAATGTGCAGCGATAAAGCACAGCTTTGACCCCGGCGATGGTGGGACAGGGTGGACTTCGTACATCTGCCCCATGTGCACAGGACGCCGAGACTGTGACCGCCCCCAGCAGGGCAGGGCCCAGGGGACTTGCCCCTGCAGCTGTGTGCTCCTGACAACCTCGCACCCAGACAATAACACGGGTCCCGGGACACCACCAAAGAGTCCCGCATGGGTGGCGGGCAGCCCTGCAGCCGAGAACAGGCGCCTCACTCGCCTGCCGGTGCTGCCCGTCGCCGGACCGTCCTCTCGTCTCCCTGGCACGTTCTATGCCTCCTGGGAACCACAGACAACACAAGCCAGCTGATCCTCACAGGAACCCCTCCCCTGGAAGGAAACAGGTGCAGAGAGGTCCAACGACACGTCTGAAGTCGCAGCAGGGCTGGCACCCAGCCGCTGGCTCCGGAGCCTGCATGCTGCCCACCCCAGGAGCACTGCCCAGTCAGGCGCCTGCAGGGCCTGAGTGTCGGGGGCAGCGTACCTTCTGCCTGAGCCGAGCCACCAGGACGTTCAAGAGATGTGCCCTGTCTCCCAGCCTCCGGAGCGCTGATCCCGTGGATGCGCCAGCGGTGGGCACAGCTCCTCCTGTAGAGAGAGTGGTTCTGTCAGGCTCAGGTCCCCTAAGGCTGTGCAGAAGGACACCCACTGTCACTGCTGGTCCCCCTTGATGTGAAGATGAGTGCATGGGACTGGGTCCCCACAAAGACCGAGATGTGCTGAACGTACAGTATAATCCTATGCCAAGAAAGCAGGAATTTTTGCAGGAAAAATCCAACCTAACCACTTGGTGTCTGGTGGAGGCCAAACAGCACCAGTCTCCTAGTCGTTGGGAAATTAAGAAAAATGTCACACAGCCCACAGTCAAAGAAATCACAATGGACATTAGAAGTTATTTTGAACTGAATTATGATGAAAACAGTGCTTATCGAACTTAAGAAATACATCCATAACTGTCTTCTCAGAAATATTTACAGCCATAAAACAAACCAAATAGTAATAGTAATAATAATAAGAATGAAAATAATATTTACAGCCATAGAAGCTTATTTTAGAAAAAAAGGAAGGTTGAAAAATCCATGAGCAGAATATCCACTTCAAAAAACGAGAAAAACAACCAGCAAATAAAGTAGAAGGAAGGCCTGAAGCTAATGTCAGATACCAAGGAAACAGAAAATAAATGTATAACCAAGGATCAACAAAACCAACAGTTGATTCTTTGAAATGGCTTTTAAGATATTAAAACCCTGGTGAGACCAGGAAAGAAAGATGGGGATAGAAACAGGGTGGTGACTGAAAGGGCTGTCTTTAGATCCCAGAGGCTTTAAAACTCATAGGAGGAGATTAGGCAGCTCTGTGCCAAAACTTGGAAAGTTTAGATTAAATGGGGAACTCTAGTAAAGTATAACATCAAAAATGACACACAAAAGAGAAAACCTGGATAGTCCTATAACTGTGAGAAAAACTGAATTCACGATTTAAAACCTTCCCACGAGGAAAATTCTAAACCCAGGTGGTTTTGAAGTTGAATTCTATCAATTAGTTAAGGAAAAGCTAACATAAGCCTAACACAAACTTTTTCAGAAAACAGAAACGGGGAATATCTTCCAACACGTTTATGAGGCCAGAGTAGCTGACATGAGCTCACGGGGAAGTGAGTTTACAGGCCAGGCCCACTCATCGGCACAAATGGAATAACTCCCAACAAGATGCTAGTGAGAGAACATGTCGCAGGTTGAGTTTATTCCAGAAGCGCAAGGTTGGTTAACGCTGAGAACCACTGTGAGCTTTGTGCTCTGCATGAGGTGGGCACACACCCATGCCCTCCGTCACGGGACTGACGTCAGGGCACCCCCACCGGGACGGCGAGGGGACAAGGTCCACGGCACCGTGGCGTTNAAAACCAACAGTTGATTCTTTGAAATGGCTTTTAAGATATTAAAACCCTGGTGAGACCAGGCAAGAAAGATGGGGATAGAAACAGGGTGGTGACTGAAAGGGCTGTCTTTAGATCCCAGAGGCTTTAAAACTCATAGGAGGAGATTAGGCAGCTCTGTGCCAAAACTTGGAAAGTTTAGATTAAATGGGGAACTCTAGTAAAGTATAACATCAAAAATGACACACAAAAGAGAAAACCTGGATAGTCCTATAACTGTGAGAAAAACTGAATTCACGATTTAAAACCTTCCCACGAGGAAAATTCTAAACCCAGGTGGTTTTGAAGTTGAATTCTATCAATTAGTTAAGGAAAAGCTAACATAAGCCTAACACAAACTTTTTCAGAAAACAGAAACGGGGAATATCTTCCAACACGTTTATGAGGCCAGAGTAGCTGACATGAGCTCACGGGGAAGGGAGCTTACAGGCCAGGCCCACTCATCGGCACAAATGGAATAACTCCCAACAAGATGCTAGTGAGAGAACATGTCGCAGGTTGAGTTTATTCCAGAAGCATAAGGTTGGTTAACGCTGAGAACCACTGTGAGCTTTGTGCTCTGCGTGAGGTGGGCACACACCCATGCCCTCCGTCACGGGACTGACGTCAGGGCACCCCCACCGGGACGGCGAGGGGACAAGGTCCACGGCACCGTGGCGTTTCAGCGTGACGCGGTGCTTCTGGTGCATCTTTGCTTCCTGTATCTCCCAGCTTCGGAGCTAGAGCAGCCACAACCCAGAAATACCCAGGAGCTCAGACCAGAACAAGGGGCCCAGGCAAAAGGCGTCCACGAGGAGGACCGCTTCTGACCCCACGCTTCGGTGTACGAGGGCACCCGGGAGACGCGGACCCCACCCTGCACTCTCCAAATGACAGCAGCCGACCCAGTGAGAGCATGTGGGGAGGGTGGCGCGGGGGGAGCTGCGGAAAGCGATTCCTAAGTTGTGTGCAGAGTCCCAGAGGAGTCCGCGTGCAGCCCAGGAACATCCGTACAGCCCGAGCTTTGAGAGCTGGGCTCTGCGGCACAATGCCGCCCAGGCCTCACGTGGCCTCGGGCGCTAGGCCGGCCGGACAGGCATCGCCAAGGCTCTGGAGAGTAGTAAGAGCACATTCAAGCTCAGCCCAAGTACAGGTAGGCCTAAAAGATATTTAGTGAGAACCAGACTTCATAACACGACACTCAAAACGTCCATGATAGGATCCAACGTCACTAACAACCAGGAAAATCTCAGCTTGAATGGAAAAAGGTGCCACCAAGATGACACAGATGTTGGAACTATTTGACAAGGATTCCAACACAACTCCAACGAGCAATCTGATACATTCTTAAAATAAATGGAAACATGAGTGTCAGCAAAGGAATAAAAGATATAAATAAAAACAAAATGAAAATTTTAGAACTGAAGTTGAAATAAAAACCTCACTAGATGAGCTCAATACCAGAATGGACACGACAGAAGAAAGAATTGGTGAACTTGAAGATGGAGAATAGAAATTATCCAAACTGAACAACAGAGAAAACAGATGGAAAATAATAACAGTGCCTCAGGAACCTGAGGCAGAGTAACAACAGATCTACCATTTTTTTTGTCATCGGACAAAGTCCCAGAAGGAAAAAGAACATGGAGCTGAAAAAATACTTGAAGAAATAATGGTTGAAACCTCAAATTTGG